TTCGGGGGATTTAACTAGAACATATTAAACAAACAAAAAACCTACCTACTATTTAAAGTTTTGACTGAGACCTGAAATTGTATGCTAAGCTTTACAGTAAGGTATAAAACAATAACCTTTTGATTAATGTTGGCCTGTGAACTGTTTGGATAGCTTATATTCACAACTATCCAGGCCAGCTACATTCAGGCCAGCTCAGCTTTAATCTTGTTCTAACCTTGATCCTGTAACTCCAAAAGCTATTTCTATTCTCTGTGTGATACATCAGCTGTCCCAGATTCTATGTCATGTTAGCAAAAAGAATACAAGGTTTTCTGCTCTGTACAGCTCTGCTGCCATCAGTTAGCACAGAGATGAATCTCAACAGTTGTGTGCATTTCCAAACTGTTTAATTTAGATTTGAGTTACCTATGTCAAATGTTTTGGTTTGCAGGTGCTAAAACAGCTTGCCACAAGTTAGATCTTTAGAAACATCTAGTTTGGTGATTGTGTCTGTTGACAGAAGTGATACAGAATCACTGGGAACTTCTAAGTCTCTTCATTCCAGGTTTTATAGAAAAATAAGAAGTTGTGGGATTTTCAACTTCTGTTTCAGTTTAGAAAGTTGCTGTGTGCAGAATGCCTCTGCAATGTTTCTTCATACAAAAACTGGTGGTGTTACTATACTGGGCTCCATGGAAACCCAGAAGATTATTTGACAAGTTCTAGTGGTCTCCAGTTATATTTTTAAGGTTACATATTTAGGTTCTTCACTAGATGTTCTGAGTTTTGTTTTACATAAAAAAAGTCCTTAAAAATAGCATGGAATTTTGGAATTTTGTTTTGCAAATCTAATGCCTTAATCAAAGAGACAGGAAAACTAAGCTGACCACTATGAGGCCATAATAAAAGAGTAAGAAAAGTCCATCTGCTTCCCTGCACCAAGTCAAATCTGGTTTAGCAGCATGGTATGTAATCAGAGTCACAGAAAAACAGAATGGTTGAGATTGGAAGGGACTTTTGGAGTCCAAATTCCTGCTCAAAGAGAGATGCCTAAAGCCAGCTGCCCGGGGCAGTTCAGAAGGCTATGAAATCACAGGATATCCATCACTACTTTGGACAGGAAATTACACTAGTTCTTCTCTTGGTAAATAAAATTGCAGGGGAAAGACTCATCACAGTCTCTCACCATATCAAATCCTGCGAACTTTTAATGAGAGCACTAACAGAGATGCACTCAAACTGATTTTCAGGTGTAGGATGTTTAGCAGCATCAATTTTCTTGATTCCACATCTTTATTTGAAGACATTTCTTGTCTGACAAGCATTACTGAAAGCTATTGCTAACTTTTCAGAAGGCTGTTTAATATTAGTAGCATTGTATGTTCCATTTCCTCCTCCTCCTTGGCATCGTGTTGAATTTCTATTCTCCACTTCTCTACCACCTCTGCAGGTGATGACATAACAATGCATTGAGTGTACAACTACCAAGCACTTACAGGTCTGAAGCCTCAGTCTAAAACTTAAATATTTAGAAAAAGTAGCATTTTATGAGCACTGCTTTGTGTTGGTGTACATTATCTATTGGAGAACAAAGCTCTTTAATACTGTGTCCAGAAGTGGATTAAAAGTAGTGAGCAGTCCTCAAGTCTGTATGTCAGGTTCTCATTTAGAAAGAGGCTGTCTCCTTTTAAATCGATAAAAATCCTCTCAGACCACAAACTATATGGATATGCATAAAAATGTATGCACAAATATTCTAAGCATAAGTAAGTAAATAAAAGACCCAAGCAAAAGATAAAAAGATAAAATCCAGTAAAGAAGCACTGAGATATTGTAATAGAGGCAGGTACATGTGGAAACAACTACTCTGGGTGCACATTTGAAATAGTCCACTCTTTAGTTGTGTAACTGTGCCTTCTAAAAATTCAGAAGGTCCACAGCTAAAATGTATGCATTACTTAAAACCCCAACAAATATAAATAAATAAAAAATAATGAAGTGATAAGGTTAGCATATCATGACAGTTGTTTTCTCCTCGTACATTTGAAGTTGCAGTTTGCAGACTGCTCAGAGGTTTTGCAGACACAAATCACCAGCAGTCTGCACAGGAAAAAAGGAAAAGGATGAACAGATGGCAACATTTTAGTGTGTGGATTAAAGACAAATTTAGTGCCAAAAGGGAATTACTATCATTTAAAATGCAGAGCTTTCTACTATTTCTATTATAAACTCTACACTTCTAGCAGTACAACTTCTGACAACTACATTGTTCTTAAAACTGCTGCCTTTTTGAATTTAGAGATCTTAGGATTTTTAAATTATTATTATTTATTGATTATAACTCTACAAATAAATTTGAAAAACAACAACATGGAACAGATTGCTGTATTAAGTGTGGACTTCAGCATCCAAGGATTGTCAAAAGTGAAGGCCTGCCAATTTACTTACCTTTTCATTAGAGCCATCAAAGTCAAATGCAAGAGCTTAGTGCAGTGGTAAACATTTAGAAGACTGAAACCTATAGGTTAGTCTTAATATCAGATTTTTACTGGTTGCATGAGAAAATTTTGCAATGGCCAATAATACTTATAAAGAGAAGAAAAAAATTTAGAAATTTAGTATATAACATGCAGCAGCTAGATGCAGGACTGTAAATTATTTTTCCTTCTAAATATCCTTGATCATGCTACAGGACAAAGTTATGCGCTCTGCGTGTAGACAGAAAGGCTGTAGACTCCATAACTTCAAGGTAATGTGCTAAAATAAGGCTAAATTATTATGTTTAATACCCCATTGGAATCAGGTTTAGTTTAATATTTTCAGGGAATAAGAATGTACACCGCTTGCTCCAAAAGTAATGCCTCTTATTTATTTCTGTGAGAACTACAACAGATAAATGCATGATAACACTGTCTGTTTGCTCTTATAGAGAAAATTCAAAGCTAAAAAACACTTTTTTTCAAGACTGTCACCACCAATAGCTGATTTGTGCAGATAAAGTGATTAAGACCCTCTTCATTTTGTGGTGTAACAGCTGTGCATTTCTGTCTGGAACATGGCTTGTTCTTCACATTGCTGTTGTTACTGCTGAAGTGCAGCACCCACCTTCTCACTGTGCTGAAATCTCCTGTTCTCCGTTTGGTTCACTAGATGTAGATGAATGTCAGTAGGTGCCTTTTCATTTATTTACTTTTTTAAATGGAAAAATTCATTTCAACGCCTTTGCTTCATATGCACTTCCATGTCTTATGCCATTCTGTCAGATTGCTCCTCTGCTGTGTTTTGTTGCATGGCAACAAAATATGATGGAATACTGATGGGAAGGTTTAACCTCTACTGCCATATTAGCACCACCTGCCTCTGATACTGTGGGCTAACATTATAAAATAGGAGGCATTACTTTTGGAGCAGCCCTTGTACATTATGACAGTACAGGTTTTCTTCCTGTCTATTATTTTTTGTGTTTCAATGAAAGTGCATATTTCAAATTCAAAGGGTACTATTCTGAAAATTGGACGTTATAGGCCTCAAACTGGCCTTAAAATGTTCTTTGGCATCTATAAAACCAATAGAGCCAAGTCAATTGATTGACTTACTGTTCACAGAAGGATCGTTGGCAGAACTACTTGTGTTAGCAGGAATCCTGGGAACTGTATACTTGAGTTCAATATGTTAAATCCAATTACACTTTTGGAAAAGACAGTATCTGTAAGATTTTTAACATAATTTTAAAGTTTTCTAGAACAGCATAATCTGTGCTATTCCAGATGCATAACATAAGAATAAAACAAAAGTTATTCGTTTTTTGAAAGCTACTGAAGAATTTGGCCTACAAAACACCCTCTGGAACAAATTAAATCTTCTACAGAATGTTTCAAAACTGCTCATGTGGATGTGTAGGTAAGGATAACTATGCTGTACCACCTTAGATGGCGGAAGTTTGTTTTCTTTCTTATGAGCTTTCCACTACAGGTATGTATCAGACAGCCAGCAATTCCTCAGGTCAACCGTGGACTTACAGGGTGGCTGAGGCTGGCAGGAAGCTCTGGACCAACCTGCTCCAGACCCTGCCATGACCAGGCAGCTTATGGAGTGCTCCAGGGAGGAGACTCAACAGTTTCTGGACAGCCTGTGCCAGTGCTCCGGCATCCACAAGTGCAGCACTGCTCCTGGTGCTCAGAGGGAACCTCCTGGGCTGCAGTTTTTGCCCACAGCCTCTTGTCTTGGCACAGGGCACCACAGAAAAGAACCTGGCTGCATCCTCTGTGTACTCTCTTCAGGTACTTACAGGCATGGATGAGATCTCTCTGAGCCTCCTCTTCACCAGACTGAGCAGTCCCAGCTCTTGGCCTCTGCTCACAGGACAGACGTTTTGAACTCTCAGTTCTGAAGAAATGCGCATGGTCATTCTTGCCAAATTTTACTCATTTGGTATGTATCTCCCTTCTTTTAGGTTAGTTTTAAGCCACTTCTAAACTCTCATGCTGATGCTCTGAAGCACTGTGCTATGTGTGTTAATGAGCTGCTGGGCATCGGCTCACTGCTGATGTTTATACATCGGTGCTCACCCAGCCTGGTGCCAGCCTGTGACCTGGATCTGCTGCACTGCCTCACAGACTAGGGCTGCAGGGAGGCATCAGTCCCAACCCCTCTGCCATACAGCTTTCCTCGCTGCCTTACGGGGCACGTCCCAAACAGCCATCCGTCAAAGGACGTGGGGATACACATACCTCAAATATTTACGGTGCCTGCACTTTGAGACTGAGACAGTTCACTCACATCTGTGTGCGGGCCACTTTTAAAACATCAAAATAAACCATCTGGCTGCGCAACTGTTTCTAATTACTCCCCTGCCTAGACTGTAAACTTCAGGGTTTGGCACCGGCCTCCCTCCCAGAGCGCTGCCCAAATCCCGCTCCCAGGCAGCTAATCACCGCCACTGCAGCGCGGGGGGAGCAGCCCTGGAGCTGGGCTTGTCCAACTCACAGCTCTCCACACACCCAGCGGCTCTGTCCGTCCATCCGTCTGTCCATCCACTGTCTGTCCATCTACCCAAGGGAGGCAGCATGGGCACGGTCGGCACAATGCACGCGCAGAGGCTGCTGGGACTGGTGCTGCTGATGGTGTCGGTGGGTTCCCTGCCCAGTCTGAGGCCCGCCACCACCCCAGCCCTGTGGTAAGTGCACTGGGGAAGTGATTTTGGGGGGTTATTACCCACCTTAGGGGATGCATGATGGAGGTCTGGATGTGGAGAAAGCGGAGTGTTGTGCAGGTGTGAGGTATTTTGTGTCTGAGATGGAGAACGTTCATGCATTGAAGAGGGAAAAGTTAGACAGGGATGGTTGCTTATTCCCAAACCTTCGAATTCTGCTGCTGAGTAGAGTGGGAGCACGACCACAGACTATGTATGCTCCACTGTCTCAATGTAACAGCATGATGAACCTTATTTTCCTTTAGGTCTTTGCCTCCTTCAGGGCCAGCACCTGCCTATGCTTATAGACAGCAGCTCTTCTATCCTAAACCTGTAACATCTAGTATCTGAGGAGTGTGGATAATACCAACCTCAGTTGTCAGCATTCCCTAGCATGGTGAACACCTGCTTTTGGCGCTTGTCACTTGGCCTTGTTCTTTGTTCTGTTTCCTGCAATCCTGGTGAGGCAGCATCTGATTCTCCTTGTGTATGTCCTGCAAGTCCTTATCTCCACTGCATGGCAGAACTGCATGGCAGAATAGCAAATCCTCAGATCTTCATGTGTTTTCTCCTGAATTTAATAAAATCATAGCCACTGAATTTGTGCCCAGTGAATTTGTGGAAATCAGTGATTACTGCTGTTTTCTGTTCTGGTGAAAGCAAGATCCCCTATCTCTGACAACCAGAAGACTGCAAAATCATTACTTTCACAAATATAACTCTAGTAGAATCAACCATAAATTGCTTTTTGATATTCTGTGTTCTGGTTTTGCTGCTTAGAAGTTCTGTCTTTAGTAAAGTTTTTGGAATAATCCAGACCAAAAAGCTTTATAACAGATAATCAAATTGTACATGTAGTATGTATATGTGCAGATAGGTATGCATACATACCAGGTACGTGTGAAAGAGATGGACCTAATGCAGTTTAACATGATAATTAATATACAACATAAGCATTCCTGCAGATAACAAGGATAGTTCTGATAAAAAGGGTTAAAAACAAGTCATTTCAGGAAAATGGTAGTTTGAAAGCATAAACAAAGCTGTGGCATTAAAAGTGCTGATGTGAGGAATGGCTGAAGCTGTGACAGCGAGGTGGTTTGCTCATTAGCACCTGGCTCTGACCACAGCTTCTTCTCTTGGCTGTCCTTCTCAGGAGCTCCTCGGGCAGCCCTGTTTTGTGCCTCCTGCCCCGTGCTGAGGCAGAGCTCCGGTGCCGTGTCCCGGGAGGCCCACTGTGCAGTGGCAGGGGCAGGTGCGACTGCGGGGTCTGCATCTGCCAAGTGACGGAGGCTGGCAAATATTATGGGCCGCTGTGCGAGTGCCAAGACTGGGTGTGTGAGATCTACGACGGGAAGGTCTGTGGAGGTAAGAAGCTACTGTGGCAATTGGAGCTTTAGGAAATGAAGTCCAGAAATATGTTGGAAACACAGCGTGTAGATAAAGCAGAGACACAGTCATCTATGCATCTTACAGTTTTGTAAGATAATAGAATCATTTAGGTTGGAAAAGATCTTTGAGATCATCGAGTCCAACCATAATTTAGGATCTTTAATTTTTAACTCTTAATTAGTTTTTTTTTTGACTGAGTCTCCTGACATCGAGAAGTGGGAAAACTCTAAATGGGGTTTTTGGCAGATTGGAGGATTAAATGTCACAAGTCAAAGGAATTGTCTGTGCCATAAGATGGGACTTTGCCCACTTTTTAGCAGCAAGGGCAAAAGTAGGAGTCACACTGGCATGGAGACTCATTTTGAATCTAACACAAAATGCAAGACTGTATGCTTTTTTTTTAATGTAACATTGCTGCATTTGAACTGCTCACCTACCAGTGGTGTGCAGTTTCTATCAAGGCTTTAAACTGTTGCTAAACAATTTGTTGTGTCTTGTAATGTTTTTCTTCTCCTGCTATGAGGAAGAATATTTGCTGTAACAAGTATCATGCTGAAGGATATAAATACCAAAACAGTTTTACTCCAAGTAGAGATAATGCTGTCCAAACAGAGACTTAAAACAATGTAATTGTGTTGTGGTTTCTGAGATTTCCCCACTAACACTCTATCCTTTAATGGCAGATTAAATGGCATGCATTTCTGGGACAAAATTTAGCCCCCGCCAGTTGCTGGAGCACGTCACTTGGTTTGCATCTAAACATTATCACTCTTTCATCTTTCCAGCTGTCTTTACTTAAGTTTCTGGGCTATTTCTGTCAGATTTTGGAGGTTTTTTTTTCTTTAAAGAAGCTTAGAATAGGATTTTAGAGAAAAGCAAGAAGAAATGCCATCACATTCCTAAGGGGATTCAGTCTGGATCTTGATGAAACGGGTCACATGGGCACTTCATTTCTTGTGTCCCCGCTTAAACAGCTTTACCAGATTCACACAAACGTGTCATCTTTTCAGGCCAAAAACTGCAATTAGGTCAATGGGAATGTTACAGGAATTCTACTAGTAAGAGGATAATACAGATGCATTCCAGCAGTGGGTTTGGCAAATTCTGTAGGAAAAAAAGAGCAACTTACTTTAGCAACAATGTAGCTAAGAAATCCAATACTAATATGAAAAGATCAAGAATGGGTTTATAAGAAAAATATTTGTATTTGGCACCTATGGCTTTATGGAGAAACTGATTTATAGACTCTCTAGTCAGCAATATAAATCTAGTTACACAAGAAATATCTGAAGACTGCTGTTCATGTCAGTGCTTGCTGCCCCAAAGGTGAATTTTCTGATCAGTGGTGTGATCTCAGTATGCTTGGTACTGTTTCTTGGGGGCGGTTATACAGTTAAACTGAAAGGTCCTCCAATTTTATTAGTTTATTGCAAATTCAGTTGTTATGTTCCTGTTAATGTCCTGTTAATGCAGCTGAAAGTTTTGCTAGTGCTTTGCTGGAAAGAGGTGCTGACAGGATAAACAAACCCAAGAGATTTCTAATGATAGTTTGTATAACACTTTATGTATCAGTTTAAAAATGCAAATGTTAAGTGATAAATGTTTTTTCAAAAGCATTTTTGAAAATTTTGTAGTTGTCACTTCATCTAGGTGGAGTACTGAAGCAGCATTATCACTGCATTCTCAAAAACCAAAATTCACTCATCTTCATTGAAAGTAGTAAAAAAAACCCAAAAAACAAGAAACAGTACACATTTGTGGGGACGGAAATAGCTGAGTTTTTTTTGCTTGTTTGGCTTGTATTTCTTGTCAGTAGTAGAGTCAACTTTGTTGGAGTTCAGAGTTGATCAGCACTTCAGGAGAGCAGATCCCAGGTAACTTTTGGGGGGGCTGAGATGCATGGTATGGATCTGGTCAATGGAAAACATATTCCATTCCAGTCTATGCACTCCTTCCTGGTCAGGTTTACTGTAACTGGCAAGAGGGTGATCCATGCACTGCATGACTAACATCCCCCTTGTTCCTTCCAGAAATATTCTGATGGCAAATTTGCAGGAATACTGCCCTTTCATGTGGTTGGCAGTGGCATATTGATCCTCAAAGACTTATGTGACTTCTTTTATTTGCCTTTCAATCCTGCGGTCTTATTTTAAAGCACGAGAGAAAAACATAGACTGTATTTTGATCTCATTACACCAGATTTTCTATGTATGCCACATACGGGGAATTTCATAATCTTGTCTTCATATTCTGAGAAAAAGGTACTGATACTGCTATTACAGTAATTCACTGCGTGAATTTACCACTTTCGCATACAATCAAGTCTTGTCAAGTCTCTATTAGTTTAAGTCTTTGTCTATTAGTTCCTCCTTTTCAACAAATTTAGAATATTCCATCAGAAAGAAAAATTGTATGTTGACTGTGAAGGACCATTCACTCAACAGTACCTTCTAATGTTTCTTTGCATTAAGCCACCAAGCTGATTTCCTAGGTATGGAATGCCTTCCTTTCTTTGAATCTTAGAGCAAATTTTTTGACTCAGTGACGAAATTATATTCCTTCTAGATGAATAGCCAAGATGTCTTACTGAATTTCTGTACCTTTTCTTTCTTCATTTTTTCATTTTTTCTTTCTTTTTTTTTTTCTTTCTTTTTTTTTTTTTTCTTCTCCCTTTCCCCCCTATTTTTAATTTTATGTATACTGCACTATTTCATGCTATTCTATCCTGATAAGTATAATAGCAATTGGAGCTGAGGGGGACTACATGCAGAATTTTGAGACACTAATTGAATATTCCTCTAGACAGCCAGGGCATCTGAGTTGAATGTTATTTCAAGAGAGCTACTTTTCATCCTGCCAGAGTGATGGCTTTTTGAAGTGGTTGATATGTAATCACTAGTGATATTCATATTCAGAGTTGGACAGACAGAGTTGTCTGTCACTAGTGCCAAAGATAGTTATCTTGGTGCTTCCCTGCCAATCAGTTCAGACACACTTTCACTTCCATCTCCTGTCCCAAGCTAAACAACATACTTAGTTGATCAGTATGCAGTTCTTCAATGATGCTTTCTGGGTCAGATCCACCTTCTGGACCAGATGTTGGAAACCCTTATTCAGAAGATGGAAGGCCTGAAGATAGAAGTCCATCTCTGTATCTGTTGTTTTTTCTTTTTGCATTATGTAAGCAATAAAAAATAAATTATTTTGTAAGTAATGAAGAAAAGCAGATACAATGTCTCTCCCGTCCTTCTAATTTCCCTTTCTTGAGACTTCTCTGCCCTATTACCCTTCCAAGATGTTTCCAGATGCTTTGGAAGGAATTGTGACTAGTTTTTTCTCTTTGGGTAATGTAGTAGGTGATTTTTTCAAGGAGTTAGAGAAGAGAGTGATCCATTGGATCCCCTCTCCTCCTCAGTGGCCTTTTTATCTGCCTGCTGTACCTTGAGGGTGCAGAGAAGAGTGAAATCCCAGTACTGCCATTCTCTTTGCAGTGCTGGTGACATTTGTATTTTGCCATTTCTTGCTGGTTTTCAAAGTAGGAGATAAAAGTAGGAAGATTGCACACCGCTGAATCGAAATCTCAAAATATTTATACGTCATTCAGGGCAGGAAGTGTATTTGTTGCTGTTTATTTGCAAATAGCAGTTTTGACCTCAGACACTTTCATATTGCCTTGGGCTTTTTTAGTGTATCTGGAGCCTGTGTTGTGTGCTAAGGAAAACAGAATGTGGCATGAATTCCTATCAAAGAGTTGCTTGATACTTATTTGCCTTTGGTTTTGCAGAATAGAGGAAAATCAATTTTAGTGGATTTTTAAAAATGTCTTAGTTTTTGTTGCTATTAAATATGTCTGTGATTAACAAGGGTAGAGAAAGTAAACTATGTATAAACTTCCATGACTAACTGTAATGAGAACATTCTAGGTGTTCCTAGAGAACAGATGTAGAACGTACCAGCTGGAACACTAGAGATTTTACTGCTCATATCTAATGGGGTCAGACACAACCCTGTGACAGCTGAAAAGAGTCCAATGGAAGAAAAAGGGTCCTCTATGTCCACAACTAATTGATTAGCTTTGTTTTTTCTATAGTTATTAAGATCTGATACACAATTTTTCCCCTTCCAGACTGAAATTGAGAATGGAATTCAAAGAACTTGCAGAGCTTTTATTGTCCACAGTTTTATATTGCTGATATTCAAGATAGGTAAATTCAAGCAGTCTTGGATTCACCTGCAACTGCTGCAGTTCCAAAAGCGGTGTGTATATTCATACCAGTGACAAATGAGGAATGAAGAGAAAGGTAAGACAGAGATTTCAAAGCAGATTACTCTTGCAGCCTGGAAGGCCAACAGTATCCTGGACTGCATCAGGACAGGAGTGACTAGCAGTGCAACAGAGGTGATTTTTCCCCTCTACTCTGCGCTTGTGAGGTCCTGTCTGGAGTACTGTGTTCAAGCCTGGGAACCCCAGTACAGAAAGGTGAATGTGGAGCTGTTGGTGCAGGTCTAGGGGGAGAGCATGAAGATGATCCAAGAACTGAAGCACCTCTTCTGTGAAGAAAGCATGAGGGATTGGTCCTGTTTTGTTTGGAGGAGAAGACTCCAGGAAGACGAAAAGTAGCTTACAAGAAGGAGAAGGACCATCTTTTTACACTGTCTGATAGTAACAGGACAAGGAGGAATGGCTTTAAACTAAAAGAGGGGAAATTTAAGTTAGAAGTTTGGAAGAAATTTTTTACACAGAGGGTGGCGAGGCACTGGCACAGGCTGCCCGAAGAGGTTGTGGATGCACCCTCTTTGGGGCCGTTCAAGGCCAGGTTGGATGGAATCCAGGGCAGCCTCATCTAGCAGCTGGCAACCCTGCCTATGGCAGGGGGAATTGGAACTAGCTGATCTTTAAGCCTACACCCTTTCGTGAACATACATGTTTCATTTCCATTAATATGGAGAAGATGGATGATAGATAATAAATGGTG